TTTTTTACGTCGAACGATACTAGTTTGATATTATTTTTGATATTCAGATTTGATAGTTTGTCAGCTAGGTCTACTGAATTTAGCACTGTGTTTGAAGGATTAAATTTTGTGAGGTAACGAAAATTTTGTTTGAAACTATTTTCGCATATTTGTGCCGCATCCATTCAACGAACATATCAAATTCTTGATTTTCAAATGAAGTGTCATAATTTGAAATAGAAAACAGTTGTTTTTCCCTTAGGAGTTCGATATTTCGTGAATGAACTAAGAGAGTGCCTGAAGATTGGGACGATGTCTAAGTTAAGATATCTGTATAAAGGCCCATTTGCAGAGTATAAGAAGGGTAAAATTCTAACGTGGCTCCTAAATGATACAATGAATTGTGGACTCATGCTTAACAAAAATGTATCACAAAAGAAGAATTCACCAAGTGAGCGTATGATCTGTTAGTGAATCAACACCATAAGAACCAAGCGAAGAAGTCTTCCAACAGTGTCTATCAATGTCCAGTTCTGAACATGTGAAGCACAATGCCAACAGCTGACTTGCAAGACACTCATCTACTCATCAGTGTCCGTTGTCCGAGGACAATGTACATTAAATATATTCATGTACCAGTACAATAATGTTGAAAAACTACACCAAGCGTCATCAGGAAAAAGGTAGGAGTCGAAAAGTTGCTAAAAACATCATGTGATTAATATCTTATAGTGCCTGGTAAGACAGCCAAGGAGCATGCCTAAAGTGCCTATAGAACTTTTTTCTACCTCTTAACTCATTTATAGAAAAAATAAGGTTCAATAAGTAGACGGACCTATTCCTCTATCTGACTTATTAGTCAATTACAAAAATAACGAAAGTTCTAGACAGCAGTCTGAGCTATGCCAAAGTGAATGTCACTAAACTTATACCTAGTATGATTTTGAGATGGTTTATTAAATAAACGAAGTTTGTGGTGAAAAAACCATAATAGGGTATGATCCTCAGAAACAGGGAATATTGCAGGCCAAAAATTCACTAAGGTCGGAGAAATAGAAGATAGACTGAGGCGTTAGCACTCTAGCCACTTTGTCACTTCATTGGGGGCCACCAGTTCTGAATTTGTCTGTCTAAATCTAGTTTATTCCACTCGGGTGTTAATTGAAGACAGACAAGGTAAAACTCCTTGCTGAGGGTACAACTATGGCGCATCGGAACAACGTTGTCACCCTCGAGATCACGACGGAGGTATTTTCGTACTGTTAGGTTAGGTTAGGTCCAACGTGAGTGGGTCTATTCGACACTCTACCGCAACCTGCAAGGGTTTATTGTGGCTCACACCTATTCACACTCACCAAATGAACCCAGATTACCCATATGGTAAGAGTACCGCTCTGCTGAACTCTAAAAACTTGATTCGGCCCCCGATTCGGTACAAAGTATGTACTCTGCTGTTTCATCATTTCCCAAACAGAGGCGATAACCACTGTCTTCCGACAGTCCGGGTCTCTGTATATGATGATTTGAAGGACAGTGACCTGTAAGAAGGCCTGTTAGACATCGTAGTTCATCCCTACACTGTAGTCCAACAACTGTTTGGTATCAAGCTTTGAAGCAGGGTATTATTGTACTGTACTTTGACCGTTGAAATTGGTATCTGATTGTTCACTACAATTTGTTCAATTATTTTTATTTCATCTTGGAAATTCTTTTTCGGTTAATGGATTGCGAAAGCTCTGTGTATCATTGACCTGAACGCGGATAACTTATGTGAGAAGGGACTGAAAGAGTCAAAGGGAATTGTACAGTCTGTGAACGTGTTTTTTAGTTAGATATTGAATTGAAAGCCACTATTAACTCTTGAAATATTCAAATCTAAGAAGTTAAGCTCCTTGTTTTGTTCGATTTCTACTGTGAACTTATTTTTGTTATGTAGACTATTGAGGAAGTTTAAAAATTGATTAATTTGTCTGTTTGAACCATCAAAACCAACCAGTACATCATCAACATATCTGAACCAGAACACAATGTGTTTCTGTGACTCTTATCTAATATCTATTTCACGGGGGGAAGACATTCGTCTGTTGAGATGTTAGGAAACATGTTTTTTACGTCGAACGATACTAGTTTGATATTATTTTTGATATTCAGATTTGATAGTTTGTCAGCTAGGTCTACCGAATTTAGCACTGTGTTTGAAGGATTAAATTTTGTGAGGTTTCTGAATCTTGAATTTGAATTTCACAAGTAATAATAATTTAGGTAGATCCCTGTTTAATGCGAAACCCAAGCGGGATAGAATGAAAAAGTCAGGTATATATAGAATAAAGTGTGGCCAATACTCTGCAGTATATACAGGCCAAACCGGTAGAAATTTTGAAATAAGACTGCGTGAACACGTCTGTTTGTACAAAAAAATCTGCAATATACGAATATCTTCAAGAATCAAACCACAAGATAAATGAAGATAACCTCAAAATCCTACATATATGTAATAAAGGGAGGAAAATGAATCTGTTGGAGGCCATGGAAATTAACAAATCAATTAAAAACCAGAAACATATACCCCTAAATGAGCAACTTGATTTAAGTAGGTCTCCTCTCTTGAATTTATGAGTTAAACAACCCCTAGAATTTTCAGGATGTTATTTTAAGTTGACATCCTGTCTCTCGAATACCTATCCTTGCAGCATACCTGTAAATTCTATAAAATCGATGTTTCAATATTGAGATTTCAGTTTTATACTTGATAATGGGATCATATGGCACTGCCATATGACACATATGGCACTGCCATATGCCAGTGGCATGAACTAAGTAACGAAAATTTTGTTTGAAACTATTTTCGCATATTTGTGCCGCATCCATTCAACGAACATATCAAATTCTTGATTTTCAAATGAAGTGTCATAATTTGAAATAGAAAACAGTTGTTTTTCCTTTAGGATTTCGATGTTTCGTGAATGAAGTAAGAGAGTGCCTGAAGATTGGGACGATGTCTAAGTTAAGATATCTGTATAAAGGCCCATTTGCAGAGTATAAGAAGGGTAAAAATCTAACGTGGCTCCTAAATGATACAATGAATTGTGGACTCATTCTTAACAAAAATGTATCACAAAAGAAGAATTCACCAAGTGAGCGTATGATCTGTTACTGAATCAACACCATAAGAACCAAGCGAAGAAGTCTTCCAACAGTGTTTATCAATGTCCAGTTCTGAACATGTGAAGCACAGTGCCAACAGCTGACTTGCAAGACACTCATCAAGACAAGTGCATATGGAACTTTTTTCTACCTCTTAACTCATTTACAGAAAAAAGAAGGTTCATCAATAAGTAGATGGACCTATTCCTCTATCTGACTTATTAGTCAAATACAAAAATAACGAAAGTTCTAGACAGCAGTTTGAGCTATGCCAAAGTGAATGTCTCTAAACTTATACCTAGTATGATTTTGAGATGGTTTAGTAAAATAAACAAAGTTTGTGGTGAAGAAACCATAATAGGGTATGATCCTTCAGAAACAGGGAATATTGCAGGCCAAAAATTCACTAAGGTCGGAGAAATAGAAGATAGACTCTAGTACTCTAGCCACTTTGTCGCTTCATTGGGGGCCACCAGTTCTGAATTTGTCTATCTGAATCTAGTTTATTCCACTCAGGTGTTAATTGACAGACAAGGTAAAACTCCTTGCTGAGGGTACAACTAGTGGCGCATCAGAACAACGTTGTCTCCCTCGAGATCACGACGGAGGTATTTTCGTATTGTTAGGTTAGGTTAGGTCCAAAGTGAGTGGGTTTATTCGACACTCTACCGCAACCTGCAAGGGTTTATTGTGGCTCACACCCATTCACACTCGACCAAATGAACCCAGATTACCCATTTGGTAAGAGTACCGCTCTGCTGAACTCTAAAAACTTGATTCGGCCCCCGATTCGGCACAAAGTATGTACTCTGCTGTTTCATCATTTTCCAAACAAAGGCGACAACCACTGTCTTCCGACAGTCCGGGTCTCTGTATATTATGATTTGAAGGACAGTGACCTGTAAGAAGGCCTGTTAGACATCGTAGTTCATCCCTACACTGTAGTTCAACAACTGTTTGGTATCAAGCTTTGAAGCAGGGTATTATTGTACTGTACTTTGACCGTTGAAAATACTACAATATTTGCAGTCTCTTAAAAATGAAATAAAAAATATTTGCTCATCATTTTTTTCTGCCTTTCCCCTCTCTTTTTTTTTTGTTGACAAAGTTTATATTCATCTAGCTGAATGAAAGCAATATATTCATGAAAGAGGTTAGTTTTTAGTGAAAAATAATTTTGAAGTTCTATTTCTGTACTATTTGTATAAAAAT